CTACCTGGTGAAGGCAGAATCTGGGTTGCAGGCATCCAGACAGGGAAGTGAGGAAGAAGAGGCAGCAAGGGTTAGGTTATTCTTTCTAGAACTTGACTGGGAAGGGGTGAGGGAGGGGATGAGGAGAGAGTGCATTCGTAGAAACAGTGCACACAGAACATGCATTTGCCTAGCGAGAGCACAAGAGAGTTGATGATGGTTGCTTAAGGGGAAGGCAAGGTCAAGAGGGAAAGTTCTTTTGAATGTCAGAAATTTGATCATGTTTATAGCCTGAGGAATGGGAGCTGATGGTGAAAGAGATTAAATGCCTGTCAGAGTAGATGATTAATGGTCCTACCCTTGCGAAGCACAGACTGGGTGGGAACTTCCTCACAGTCAGGACAGAGGTGAGGGGGAGCCGAGGACCATGTGAGTAGTCGTCCTTCGTCCTTCAGACTTACTGGCTGGAGGGAGAAGCCGGACCAGAACTCAGAGACCACAGCCAAACACTAAGGATTGACCGGGGAGGTAACTTGAAAGCCTGAACATCAAGCTATGTGGGTATGGCATGAAGTCTAGAGACTGAGAGATAGTCAGCAATGGGAAGGAGGGTCAGATGGGGTAATTCCAGAGCACACTCTGGAATCTTTGTGTCCTTGAACATATGCTTTCTATGTGCAACCTGGAAACTTACTAGGCTTGAGAGTGGTTCTTAAAGGTGAAAGAACCCAACATGAGACATGGACTTGCTTGCTCTAAGACATGGATTTAAGAGACATGAATGAGAGATGATTCCCGGAGATTTTGAAAAAAGGGATGTAAGCTCAACAAATGAACAGATTATTTTAGAATACCTTTCCGGGGGTGGCTGAGTGGTTCAGTCAGTTAAGCGTCTGACTTCGGCTCAGGTCATGATCTCATGGTTCACAGGTTTGAGCCCTGCATTGGGCTCTCTACTGTCAGCACAAAGTCTGCTTTGGATCCTATCTCCCTCTCTCTCTCTGCTTCTCCCCTGCTTGCATGTACATTCTCTCTCTCTCTCTCTCCCTCTCCCTCCCTCCCTCCCTCCCTCCCTCTCAAAAATAAATATTTAAAATACCTTTTCAGTATACAGGAGAGGTTATTTGAGGAGAAGAGGAAGAAAGGGTAAGGTTTATGGCTGGAGGAGAATGGGAAAGATTTGGAACAATCTCTGAAAGGAACCAACCAGAGATGAACGCAAGGGTGCCAGGCGGTATTGGAAGATCAGCTCTAATTAGATAGTGTAAATTTGTATGGAAACCAATTGGCATCATCAAGTGTCTTTCACTAGCAATTTTCAGGCCACAGGGAGTAGAAACATAGACAAAAGACTTTGAGGTTTGGCATGGACTGGGCTCTGGTAAAGCAAATGCACTTTAGGTCTAAGGGTAGGGATGAACTGGAATGAGGAATTTTCTGGTGCAGATATGATACACTTGAAATGACCTCAGGTATAGAATGGATAAGGAGGCAAATACTACTTAAGGGAAGTTTATTAACTAGGAAAACAGGTAAGTATTGGCCACAGTAGAAGAAATGAAAGATTGTTTGAGTCTGTAAGTGGGAAACTTGAAAGGTTAGAGGACTGTGGCCAAAGGAGACTGTATCAGAGCTGAAGATTTTAGAAGCAGAGCAAATGCATTCTGGATAAAGATGACGGCTAAGATGACGGCCATCCTGCTGAGAAACTGAGGCAAGGTGGAAGCAAACCTGTTGGTGTTGTGCTCAAGAAAGGTGAAACCAGAGTGGATATTGGAAGACTAACAAGGAGGGAACAAGGATGTTGAAGTTACTGAGGAGAAGGAATGTGCCCAAACTAGGTAGAGAAATCATTGATCAAAAGAAAAAAGCCCTGAGGAAAATGAGAGACTGTCTTGGGTTCTGGATAAGTTGTCTTGGGTTCTGGAATGTGCTGTAACTGAATGGCACCACTTTAGAAGAGGAGGGCAGATGTAGATGATCAATAAGGACAGTAGTGGTCTGGAAGCATGTCCAGTAAAGTTGGATCGTCGAAACAGGATGGACTCCACTTGAGATGACTGGGAAGGGTATGTGATAGGCTGCAGAAGTCAGGATTCAGTTTATGCTGGAAGGAGAAGGAACAGTTGAAAAGGTAGGGTAAACCTTCTTTAGACACGTCTGATAGAGAATATAACATGTAATAGTGGCTGGGGACCATGTGTACCTGGAGATGGAAAGTGGAGCTGGACTGGGTGAGCTTGTTGAAGGCTGATTTTGAATTCAGGGAGTAGGACAGTACTTACCAATGACAAGGATGAGGGGTAAGGACAATGAAAGGTAGAGGCATATGCTAATAGATATAATAGCTGGAATATAATCACTAACAACTGGAACTCCCACTTGGGATGTTAGTGTAACCAATTGGAACCCTGCCGTGACCAACTGGAACGGCTATTGGAACTTTAGTACAACCAATGAGAATATTATCCTTGTCAGTGGGAACATTGGTGTGACCAATTACAACCTGGCAACCTGAAATAGCTAGAGGGATTTTGGCATTAACAGAAGTGGAATAGATTCCTACTGTTCAGGAGAGATACATTCTGAGGCTTTTTTTGATCCCACCAAGGCGGCAGTATCGTGAATGTTGCTTAGCGGGCAAACTGCATGTAAGATATTCAAGCACTCAGTGGGCTGCGTTTTTAATAATCCTATCCCTAGGCCTTGACTTCTGGTAGATACTTAAAAACATGTTGAGTAAATGATTGAAGTCTGGAATGGAATGGAACAACATTTTCTCAATTGTCCGTACTCTAAAGCAATCGTTGCTATCTGATTTAGAGAATTACTTCTCTACCCCTTTGCACTGGTGGCTTGGAGAGCTCACGTACACGGTATAGTCCATCTCTAGCAACCCACAGAACTTTAGGAGTTTTACACCAGCGGTGGCTCTGGCCTCAACTTCTTTTCCTGCCTGCTTTAACTTTTATGATTTTACATTTTAACTTAAATTGTCCATTATTCAAACCGCCTCAAGTCATTTGTGGAACAAAACAGGTAGATGAAAGGATGGAGAGAGAAACGTAGAATGAGGTGGTGGAACAGAGGGGAAGGTGAGGAAGGAAGAGAGAGGAGGTGGGAGTGAGTAGGTGGTATCAGAGAGGATTAGATCTTCAGAGAGCCTTCGCGCCAGGCCCTGGTAGAGAGTGTGCGCTCAACAAAATCTTAACAGTTTGAGTGGCTATTTCCTCACTCCGTGACTCCGTGAATATTTGTTGATTGGCTTTTTTTTCAGCAGGTATTTTTTTTCTTTTATTTTCCTTAAAATTCTTGGACTTCTTCCTCTGTTTGGGAAACCATGTGATACGTTAGACAGAAAAGAGTTTTGGAATCAAACAGACTTTGGTTTGCAAACTAACTAACGCACTCTGCTGTTGTTGACTGGCATGTGTCTTTGGTCAAGACAAGGCCAGTCTCTGGGCCAGGTTAGTAGTTACTGTCTATTACTCAGGTCAGGATAGTATTTACTGTCAAATCACCAGGAGGGTTTATTGAAAGCATGTATGTAAAGTACCCTGTGGGGTCTGGCACAGAGGAGGCACTCGTGGAATCTGTGTGTCTTCTCTCCTTCCCCACCTCCACCATTATACACATTGATCTGGGTGACTACTCATGACCAAGTACGCTGCGGTTCTCACATGGCAGGGTCACTGCCTCTGTGCTATAAGCTAGTTCAAGTCTAGCTGAAACAGGAAGAGCCGGCCTCCTTTGCCCAGTGCTCAGTGAGTTCATTTTGCTGAACTTCTAGGTACCCGTCCCTTCAGATTAGCAGATGAAGAGTTTGTAGACTGGCTTTCTGACACATTGAGGGGCTTGGCCTAGGGAATCATGTTTTCCTAGTTAAGATCTGTGTCCTGTGTGGTTTGGTCTGTAGTCTGAGGACGGTTCAGAATATATGAAATCATAGCTATTGGTCAGAATGTTGATCACCATTCTTGTATGAGGGTTAGGTTGCCCAACTTAATATAGAAAGTTCATACTGAGATGGAATAGTGTATCTTTTCTGTCTGCTGATTTGGCTGGTCACTCTCCTGATGGCCATACTGTAGTCTCATTGCTGGAAACCGTGTCTCCCGTGTGCCAAGACTCTGGAGCTCATGGACCATGGCCTTTGGCCAATGGAGAAGTGTTGCCCCTGGACCAGAAATGTTCCTGGTTTTTGAGGTCCTTCATAATCCCTAGTGGTTCCCAGCAGGTATTTTGTCAATCACCTTTGTTTTTTGTCTTATTTATGCTTATTAGTTATATGTATTAATGGCAGGTTGCCGTCTACTACTGTTCTTATTATGGTAGGGCAGGACTGATAACCTTCCTGAGTCTGGTCTTACAATAAGGGAAGAACAATTTCCTTACCTCCATACCGTCGTGGCTAGAAAAGATCCATTATCACAATAGGCTAGGAAAAGTCTGTATCACATAAACAGGATTCTGTCATTTAGTAAATACTCATTGAATATCTGCTTTATGCTCTAGCTCCCTCCTAGGCTCCTTGCAGTGAGACCTTAAAATGAAATTTGTTGAAAATGTGGGCTGAACATTGAGCCCAGGAGGTGATTTGGAATCCTTGGTTTTAAAAAAGATATATTGTTAACGTAAGCTTGGGTTTGTCTGTGTTTTTTTGTTTGTTTTGGTTGAAAGGACCTGCTGCTTTGCATTGGAAATAGAGATGGAGAAGTTTCGTTCTTTGAGCAAAACTGTCCCTTTTTCTGTACTTGGAAATAATGGCTTCTAATGGCAAACTTGTTTTTTGAGAGCTATAGTTCACATTGTTTCTCAGAGCACAGTGGGTGGTGCCAGGGGCTGTGCTCTCCCTGAGTGACCCAGTATCAGCTGAGACCTGTCCCTAACAGCCCTGTAGCTCATAGGCAGCAGTCTCAGCTCTGTTGTCCACCAGAGTTTGCCTTGTATGCTCTGGATGGAGCTACAGCTGTCCTTGTTGCCAGGGAGGCTCTGATTTTGACATCTGGTTTTGCTTGCAGGAGCTGCTAAGTCGCACATCTCTTGAGACCCAGAAGCTTGATCTGATGACTGAAGTTTCTGAGCTGAAACTCAAGCTGGTTGGCATGGAGAAGGAGCAGAGAGAGCAGGAGGAGAAGCAGAGAAAAGCAGAGGTGAGTGTGATAGACCAAATTCTGGGGGATCCATACAGTTCTAAACTCAGAGCAGAGGAAACTATCCTAATGTGGATTCAGGCCATCTGGTCAACCCCAAGCCTGGCAGCCACTGGGCGCCAGAAGCATCTATGCACTAGAGACACAATGATCTGTTAATACCAAGTTATCAGGTTTTGCTGTGGCTGCAGATTTCAGCAATGCCCAAACCACCCAGTTTTGGCTCTAAGGCTTTATCCTCCCTCAAGCTGCTGACAAGGATAGAAAGGGAAGCATTAGAGGGGGAAGGATCAGGCAAGTTGTGAAGGGACCCAAGATGTCCTCTGTGGGAGCCAAGGTAATGAGGATATATCTGGGATGAAGTCAGCTGCCCAATAGGCCACCATCACTATATCCAAGGAGTCTGGAGACATTCTTTGATGTGCTTTTCACTGACCTAGATGGAACCTTTAGATTATGTTTCTTTTCTCCTGATAGGTCATAGGAGGAAGCCCATGTACAGGCCTTCTATTAATGTTTTCCTGCATTGTTCCTATTTTTTTACACTCTATAGAGTGTTTTACACTCTATAATGCCATTGGCCAGAACATTCCAGACTCCTTTTTAGGATAAATGTTTTGTGTAAATTTTAGGCTCAGAGTTGCTTTTGTTGAGAAAGAACATCCTGTTTTAACCTTAGATAACTACCTTCCATATGTCTCTACCTACAAGTGCCCATATTTGCACCTGGCATGTAAGATGTAGAAGGAAGATAGGCTGTAGGTTTAGAAGCACATTGGTTCAATCACTAACCTAACTGCTTAATAGGTCTTTGAATTTCATTCAACAAGTTAGCTGCTTAATTTCTCGAGACTTTATTTATCTGTAAAATAGGTAACTGTGTGAAGTCCAAATAAAAATCACAAAAGTCCCTATCATAGTACCTGGCATCCTGTAGGTACTTGGTTCATATATACTCCCTCGCAACATTTAGCTCTCTCCAAAATCTAAAAGTGGATATCATTCCTTTCTATTAAGCACCCCCATTATTGTGCACTGAAACCTGCCCTATTGCTGTGTTTACACAGTGGTAAATGCTGGTGATTGAGACATTTAAAACGGGTGGGCAATTCTGTGCATTGCTTTTGAGAAGCTGCTCATTGTAAGTAGAGGTGCCAAAAGACCTCTCCATTAACCTGAAGACCCTGTCTTGTAGTGATTAAGAGGGCGGGGCCTTGAATCAGATCTTCCAGCTGTAATGCAAGCTGAGCTGCTCATTAGCTTTGTCATTGTAGGCATAACACAACCTGTTTCTCCCTCTGTAAAGTGGAGATAGTAACACTTCCTATTTCCTGAGTGGTTTGGAGGAGGGAATGAGATAATTCATGTATAGTCCTTAGCATAGTGCTGGACACATAGTAACTGCTACCTTTTACTTACTGATTGTGTCACAAAGCATCCTGCAAATGGACATGTAGGTTAAGATACATTTATAACCTGCAAAGGTCCTGCAGAATGAAAGCTTATCTTTGTGAGGAGTTAGTTAAATAGAGTGCTTTTTAAAAAACAAACAAACAAACAAACAAACTTTTTTAGTGTTTATTTTTGAGAGATAGCATGAGCAGGGGAGGGACAGAGAGAGAGGGAGACACGGAATCCGAAGCAGGCTCCAGGCTCCGAGCTGTCAGCACAGAGCCCGATGCGGGGCTTGAACTCACAAACCACAGGACCATAACCTGAGCTCAAATCGGATGCTTAGCCAACTGAGCCACCCAGGCACCTCAAATACACTTTGCTTTTTAAATGTTCAGAAAGAAGCAACTGAATTTTCTCCAGGTTTGGAGTTGTGTTTTTACCAACGTCTCGAGGTGTGTGATGACATGGGAACATAGGTTAGGGCTCTGGGGGCAGAATTCAGTAAACTCGGAGATGCCTTGAAGTGATAGAGACAAGTCAAAACCACTTAAATTAAAAAACAAAAACAAACAAAAAAAGAAGTATAGGTGGGAGAGTATTAGGTCACACAGCTTGAAGAGTCCAGAGTTTAAAGTCCAATATCACTAGATCCACGTGACCTCCCAATGTCATTAAAAATCAGCCTTAGCGTACGTCTTGGTTCTGACTTAGCCTTATTGCCAAGAAGGGTCTCTGCACTACATCCTATCGGCCTGGAGACCTGGCAGAGAGAGCACCTTTTTCTCAAAGTTTCCAGCAAAAGCCTCGGGCTTGCATCTCCCTGGGCCAGTTTGGGTCACATGCCTGGTTCTGAGCTAGCCAGCCACTAGGGAGCACATAGGTATGTGTGCGTGAGTCTGTCTGGGAAAGAACGCGGAGTTAGTACCAACCTGAGCCAGCTCTGTTCCTTTCCAGGGAAGACAGGATGGAAAGGAGAGCTCCCAATTCTGGGCCAAGTATACCGAAAGCAGTCATTTTGCTGTTTGCTTTATTTTTCCTTTTCTGAGGGATTATGTTTCAATCTGAATTTTTTGTTTTTGTTTTCCATCAGGCTGTTCATGCATGAGGCAACATAGACCCTGAGCCGCTGGCTTCATTCCTACCAGATAATGGCCCTTCCCAGTTGCTAGTACAAACATTAAGTTTTTTTAGGGCTGTTCAAACCTGTGACACTCCATGCACAGCCACATGACCTGAAGTGCATTTCTCCTTCTTGTAATTGAACATAATCTTCGCTGGTATGCTTAGAGCCTCTGCCACTATTTGCAAATATGTGCAGCACCAGGGGCTTGAAACCATGGCGAGTACTGCTGTGGGGACTCCATTGTCATGTGCGTGGACGTGTGTGAGTGCAGCACTGAGCTAAGGTCACCAGAGGTTGTACTTCCGTGAACAAGGGGAATGCTGCTTCCCAGCTTGCATTGCTGCTGGGTTTTTTCCAGTGAATATACTTAGCCCAAGGCCTATTGCTTGTGGTTTGGAAAGGCAGGATCTTTCTCTGTTTTGTTTGTTTTCTGGGGTAGCTGGATCTGAAATTTCCTCTATGCAGCTCAGGCTTTATCCTCAAATTCCATTTTATGTTTCAGTGAAAATTTAAAAAAAAAAAAGAAAGAAAAAGGATACTGTGAACAAGAGCATTGCAGGCTGTTCTTTCTGTCGGACTCTGATCCCCCCGAAGCCTGTATCCTGCTGCCTGTAGAAAGTTATGGACGTGATTATACATGGTTGTCTATAAACCTAAGGACGTCAAGATGCAGGTTTCTTGTCAAATAGAGACCATCCTGACAGCCAGCCTCACTCAGGAGTCTGTCAGTGAGATGTGGGTGAATACCGGGTTTCCTGTTTACCTTTCCTCCTGAGCCTCTCGCAGTGGCTCCGGGTCATTCCAGGAGACCCAAGCTTAATCAGTTAGGTTTACTCCTGAGAAGCAGGACTGCAGAGGAGTGGCTGACGCGGAAAGTAAATACGAGAATGAGGAGGATGGAATGTAAAAGATCCAGAGGCAGAGGAAAATGTCTGGGTGGCATACTATATCACAGGCACGTCCCTCAGAGGCGTCTTCCATGGAGAGGAGTCTGGTTTCCCCGAGCCCTGGGGATGGAGGGGGCCCCACAGCTGGATCTCTTTATGGGATTAAAGAGCTCTGCATGTAATAACCAGAGCATCCTGTAAAGAAGGGAGCAGGGATCCAGCATGTCCTGGAAAGTGGCATCTGTGCAGTTGATCAGGGTTATACACAGATATGAAGAAGAGAACCAGAAAGAGTCTTCAGGATTTCTGGCAGAAAACGGAGTGTCTTACAGCACGGGTGGTGCTGACTTCTTTCTTCCTTCCTATGGTTATAGCACTTTGGAAAGGAAGGATTCTGATTTCTGAACTGGGATAACCAGAATGATGGATGATGGAGCACAGAGCGGAGACTGGGAAGATTGTGTTTGTTCAGAGAAGTCGACCGGGAGATTCTTACTGTTTTGTTGATTTTGTTTTACTTACTGATTTTTATTAGCCTAGGAAATCTCCAGCAGTTCAAAAATTAAGAGTTCATAAAAGTATATGCAGCCAAAAGTCTCCTTCCATGCTCGCCCCTCAGGCCCACAGTCAGGAACCACCCTGACCAGTTTGTGTCCTCCCAGAGTTATCCCTGGGCAAGCAAACTTATGTGGACAGATATATATGCACATATGCGCACACATTCCTTCCCTCATTTTTGTGCAAATGCACACTATTCTAGACCTTCTAATGTAGCATGCTGGGAGTTTATTCACACCAAGTGCATTAAAAAGACTTATATGATAGAAATACCTACTATTTCATTATCTGACTATACCTTAATTTAGCCTGTCCTCTTTTGATGGACATGTAAGTGGTTTCCAAGTGTTTGCTACTTCTAATAATGCTGCTGTGAATGATCTTGCACACGTGGGGATACTGAAGTGGAATCAGTGGGCCAAATGGTACATGCAGTTGAAATTCTGACCAATATTTCCACTTTGTCTCGTGGAACGTAGAGGTTCTGTTCCCATCAGTGATGTCTAAGAGTGCCGGGCCAGTATTAAGCAGAGCATGAAGGAGGGAGAGAAAGAACTAAGTAATATCATGAACAAGTTTAACAGGTAGGAGGGAGTGGGAAAGACATGGTTATGGGAGGTGCCCCGTGGTTCACATAGAAAAGAACCATAAAGAACTTTGATGGTTAGTGAATCGGGAGTCATAAAGCCAGCTGAGATTTCAACACAGGGTGGCATTTAGAGCCTCATAAATGTCACCTGGACTTCGTGATAGGGGACCCAAGAATGAGACACAGCTACAAAAGGGTCTGCCCTATGGGGGAGAAACAGATCTGTTAAGAGGGGAGGTGGGCCAGCCCTGGAGAGAACGAAGTATAAAAGAAAGTTGAAATGCCGAGCCTGAGGATGGACATACTGGAAAATAACACGTGGGTTGGGAGAATAAGAGGGGAGTGTCCCTGAAACATTGGGATGCACCACATAGTCACCCCAAGCAGAGGAAGAAAACAGATGACTCCCGTTCAGATCCCCAGACAGATGGAAGCAGACAAGGGGCTT